AGTACGGGGCCCCGCCCCGCCCCGCCCCGCCCCGCCCCACTACCTGTGCGGACGCACTGGACGAGCGGGGTGGCTGGGAGGGAGGGGGCCCTCTCTCGCGCCCGCTCACGCTGCTCCGAGATTCAGCTTGCATAGATTTCCCCCGGGCCGTGTTCATCCTGATGGCGAGCCCGTCCCGTGCCCGGCCGCGCTGGCGGCGCTCGGCCCGCCGTACAGCAGCCGGGCCAGTCTGTCGCATGTGAAACGTTTGTACCCGGCCGCTGGGCCGACTGATCCCCGATGATAAAGCTTGCATCTCCGGCCCGTCTCGAATGCGAGTGCCTCGTGCCTTGGAGAGCCCCTTCGAGAGAGAAGTCCCTTCGGGCAGGAGAGCGGGGGTGTAACTCTCCCCAAGGTGGTGCGCTCTTTATGCAAACGCACTTCTCTCTGAGCCCACGGGATCCGGCGCGGCCCCATCCGGTCGTATCCGCCGTGCTGGTTTTCTGTTTCAGAAGTCGTAGCCCTGGATCTCGCGCCCCTGACGGGGACCCTCCCCCTCCGGTCGTCCCGCCCGCGCCCGCGCCTGGATGACTGACCGGGGGCGGGGCTGGCATTGTGGCGCCGGCGCCATCAAAAGTCCCGCTGGTCCCGCTCCATGTCCCCCTCGTTTCACTTCAATGCATTTGCCGAAGATGACACTGCAATCGATGAGACCAGACCAGGACCAGAGGCCTCTGAGCCGGCCGGGGCCCGGAGGCTGGGGGTGGGGCGGGGTGTGGGGCTGCTCCCTACGGGACCGCCGCCCGTGCGGCCCCGCCCCGGCCCGCGTGACGGCGAGAGCGACGGGACGCGCCAGAAATATAGTAGAAATGTGTCGTCCTATGGACTGGTCCGCGCCCTCTCCTCCCCCTCCCTTCTCCACCCTCCTCCTTCACTCCCGCACATGGCCGCCACGCTGCTCCCGCCCCCTCCGCTCTGTGGAAAGAGCTCAACTCGACAAATTAATTCTGACGGCGGGGGCTCGCCCCACTTTTTCGCCGAAGAGCTTTTTGGCGTTTGCCGTCCCCTCCGGTCCCCCCGGTCCCCTCTGATGGCCGCCGCCCGCGCGCCCAGCGCTCCCTTAATTTTCTCCCTGATCATGACGATGATGACGATGGTAATGGACGCGGCTGCCTCGACGTGTCCGCCGGCCGGAGTCTTACACCGTCGCTTTTCTATTATCTTCCCTTCCGCCCCGTCTGCTTTTTTTCCCCTTCTATGTTTTTTCTCCTCTGGCGCGCTTGCGAAAGCGAAGTCGCTGCCGCTGCTGTCGGATGACATTTTACGAGTCGGCCAGAAGGGTCGTAGGTGGGGGGTGGGGTGTGCGGGGGCACGTCGCTGCCCGCCCGCCTGCTCGCGTGGACAGCGCGGAGGAGCCTTCCCATATCGGTGGTCGGGCTGGAGGAGCTGCTGGAGTGTATTGAGCGGGGAGCGGGGCCGCTGCTGCTTCAAAGCCGCTCGTACCGTGAGCCGCTCGCAGGCGCTCGCAGCCGCGCGCCCGACTGTCAATACGCTCTGGAGAGCCGAGTGGAGTGCACTCCGGTGCGCGCACTTTGGGCCGCCCCGCCCCGCCCCTGGCTGATTGGCTTCTGCTGTGTGACCTAACCCGACCCCCCGCGCACCCTGCCAAATTAACATCGGGGAAGTCCGGATCGATACGGCCGAGAAGTTAGCAAAAGCGATGGTCGACGGATTTAAATTTTGGCGCCAGAGCAGAAGACGGAGAGGGAGAGCGGGAGAGTGTCGCTCGGCTGGCCTGAAGTCATTAGCGGCTTTAGGGTGGTGGAGAGCCCTGCTGGGGCGGTTCGCTCTCGCTCCGCCCCAGCTCCGCCTCGCCCCCAGCCGCCCCCAGCACTCCGTCCGTCTGACCGCACGGTCTTTGCTAGTCTAGTAAGTGTGTGGTGTAGAGAGGAGGCTGGAGGGGGTGGGGGGGGGAGTCGCCTACCCCTGCGCGTTTGTCACGGCCGTCCTCTTCGACTCTTCGACATGTCACTAACGTGGATCTTCTCTCCTGTTTACAGAGGAGCTTTCTCGGTGGTGCGACGATGTGTCCAAAAGTCCACCGGTCTCGAGTTTGCCGCCAAAATTATCAACACGAAGAAGTTGTCTGCCAGAGGTGAGTGTGCTCGCTTTTTATGTTGCGCTGTTTTTAAAATCTTTCTTCTTTTCACCTTTGACTTTTCTTAGTTTCTTTAAGGATTTTTTTGTTGATGAGGCAAATTGTTTCCGTGGGGGTAATGGAGCGATCATCTCTCTTCTCCGACCCCCCCCCTTCCCCCT